TAGAGAAAAGTATGGAGAATATGCCTACTGATGTGAGTGGTTAAAGGGTTAATCCTTTACAACCTAACATCAATATGGATATTCTTCATACAGTACAGTACATTTCTTAATGTACTGACATGAAACTTTGTTTAAAAATTATAGCAAGAGCTTCTTTAGCTGGTGATCATTTCTTTTCTTCTTGTGACCTTAACCCTTAACTCCCAGGATTTGATTGTTAATTCTTCCATCTAGCTGCTACACATTTCCTTGTAAATTAGTTGCAAGAATTTGGTGTTAGATCAAGATAACAACTCATACCTGATACATTTGAGTATTCTCATTACCTGTTTGCTGGATAGTGGGTGGATATTGTAGGGAGAAGTTACTTGTGAATCACTTCTGGGAGTTAAAGGGTTAATGTGTGATTCAGGAGTAATACTGAAAGGAGAAATTATTTGGTAGTCATGTGGGATCAATATCAGTATCTGGGCAACTGCCCACCTACCCCTCCCCTAACTCAACAACAGTCAATTGACAACAAGTTAAGGTTAATGTTGGGTTAGGGGAGGAGTAGGTGGGCAGTTGCCCAGATACTGATATTGATCTGTCATGTGTTTATTTTCTTATGACAAACCATTTGCTGCTCTTGCTATAACTTCTGATGTTTTGTGACACACCACTTTCTGGCAACATCTAATTTTTGCCCTCATCTCACAGAAATTGTTATAACTCTTAGTGCAAGTGTTAACTTGTCTTTCACAGCTTTGGACATCTCTGTGTGACCTTATCACGACTATTAAACAAACTCACATATAAATGTTCAAAGTTAGGCAGTTTGCTGTATCAAAGTTGCTGCTTGTTTTCCTGTCCCATTATCAGGAACACCATTAGCAGGAATGTCCATGGAAACAGAGGAGCTGTTCTAACAACACATTCCATGGAGGAGGCTGATGCTTTGTGTTCACGAATTGGAATCATGGTTAAAGGCCAACTCAAGTAAGTTATATTTCAAACAAATGTCTTTTCTTTTATAAGGAAGAGTTATTGTCCCCTTAACCTTTTTCTTGAATAATAGGTCATTTACAGTTGTGTACTTAGTTGCCAAGCCTTTGATCTAGAGTGAGGCTGAAGGCAACCTTGTTGTGATAGAGACCAGTATCTAGTTAGCATAATAACAAAGTAATTTACATTTGAAAAGCAGCAAGGTTTGTATCATAACAAGGTCAACCTTAACCTCACTCCTGTTCAAAGGCTTGACAACCAAGCACACAACTGTAAAAAAACTGTAGAATAGACAATAACTCAACTTCTTGTGTTTTCAGGTGTCTTGGTTCAACACAACATTTAAAGAGTATTTATGGTAGTGGTTACACCTTGGAATTAAAACTGAAGCAAAGCCACACCTCAGGTCCATGCCCAGAAGGTTCAATGGAGCAGTTACACAACTATGTCATTGAGCTGCTTCCAGGTGCAACCCAGTCTGAAGTGTTTGGTGGAAGACTGATATACAAGGTCCCAAAGGAAGGTGTTGGGGCACTATCAGTCATCTTTACTAAGCTTGAAAAAGGTATGGTGTCTATCTTTGAGGATTGATTGGGCCTGATAGCATTCATCAACTTTGCTAAATGGAAGGTGGGTTCCTGGAGTATCAAGAGCCTTCCACTGTAGCAAGACAGCCCCAGATAAAATATGGCTGCAAAATTCCCTCAACCCAGCAATAAGCCCCTTTCCCAGGCCCCTGTCAATATTATTAGATCTGAGTGGAAGAAAAATCAAGGAAGGGGCAGATTGGGACAGGTGGGGGAGGGGAAGACTCTTGAAAACAGCCATTACAAATATGCTTACAACTGCTGAGGGACAAACGCTACAAAACTGCTTAACCTGTAGAGACTAACATCTAATTTCTCCCTGAAATATTACCCCTGAATCTTACACAGAAATATCACCAACCGAAGGAGCTCTTGATTAGTTAACAAATTCTCTTTGTTAGCATCTTACAAAATGTGTAGAGAAAAGTATGGAGAATATGTGTACTGGTGTTCAGTTGTAAAGGGCCAAGAACTCAAACATGCCAGCTGTGACAGAGTTGCAACATTCCTTTTGAGCCTGCACCAAAAACACTGACTGACTACAAGTCTTTTTGTTCAGTAAAATGAGCAGTATTGTGCAAAAATCCTGAATCAAATTGGACAGGATTTGGTAGCATTCTTTTTCCATGACATTTTAAGCTGTGCTACAGAAGGGTTCCAGTCAAGAAGCTTTTGCTAGATTAGTAGAACCTCATGATTATGCCAGCACAGTTGTAACTTAATGCGTTTGTTCCAAAGCGCTTGACAGGGTTAAGGAGAACAACAATATTAAAGCAGTTTTTTAAGTACAACTTGAAAGCATATTCATTCACTGATTCAGCTGTACTTTTTTTTTTTTAGGTAAGGAAGAAATTGGGATAGAGGAGTACAGTTTCAGTCAGTCTACACTGGAACAGGTATGAAATTTTTCTTGCTCCTTTGTGGTCAACAAATTGCAGCAAATTTTTGTTGATGGTTGAATACAATCGGAGATTGGTTTTATTTTCCTTTACTCTGCCCTCAGCCTCTACGCATGGTCTGGGAAACTTGCACTACCTTCCCAACCAATCAGTTGCAACCAATCAGTTGCACTAATAGTGCCAGACCCCCAGCTAACCTCCCCAACTTCTCCCAAATCTTCCTGTGGGCAGAGAATCCCGGATGAGGGCATACTTGTAAGCCAACCACAACTGAACTGATAGACTTTTGCCAGCTGCTATTTAAATATCAGTGAAATCAGTATTTTACTTACTTATTTTGATTATCTGTTTGCTTTTATTTGAAAAAATGGTATCACCACTTGCCTCTTTCCTTCTTCATTCAAAATAAAAACAATGCATCACTTTTCAACCCTGCTTCATATTGTATTATACAACACTTGTTTCAAGAGGCCGTTTTACAGTGGTTTACTTATTTGCCAAGCCTTTGATTTGGAGTGAGGCTGAAGGTGACCTTGATGTGTTAGAGACCAGTATCCAGGTAGCAGGATAACAAAATAATTTGCATTTGAAAAGCAGCAAGGTTTGTATCATTTGTCACCCCTAGCCTCACTCCTGTTCAAAGACTTGACAACCAAGCACACAACTGTAAAATGGGCTTTTGATAACTGACCAATCAAACTGCTCAACTACAATGATATCCTCAGGTTTTTCTGGAGTTTGCAAAAGAACAAGATGATGACAGGACTGGAGCCAAAGATAACAAAGAAGAGATCGTATACGTACGTAATGGTGGATCTCACCCAGCAGTGTAATTAGAGTTTCATGTATAGGACCTGCATCTCAAGGAGAGCCTTTTCCAGAGCTGTCCTTGGTATTCCAAGTTTGCAACTTTTAATTTGTTTATCTTTTCAATAGTATTGTTATAAATTCAACACTCATTTTTCTAATTAAGATATTTATTGACAAATGGGAACGAAAAGAAAAGAGACTTAAATTCAATTACACTTGTCAAAAAAGAATATTTTATAGTACTACAAAACCAGTAAATCAATTAAAAATCAATGACATCTTCTACAAAAAATATATATTAACCCAAAACCAAATAATTCCCAATGTGACTGTTAGTGAAATAAGCTTAATGCACCAATCAATTCAAAGCTTCAGCGTATTGCTTATATGCGACAAAGTGGTATACTCATGACATGAAAGGATAATTTTATTGCATTCTGCCTTGCATCCTGTCATTGCATAAGTCTTGCTGTCAGATAAGTAGTAAAAATATACCCACAGCTCTTAGTGGAGGGGGATCAGAGCTCCCTGAACTGCTCCCCCTTGATCTGTCATTGATTACAAAAGGAAATTTAAATGTAATCCCATCAATAGGAAACAATTACACATATTAAAACAGGATTCTTTTAATGTATAGTCATTTATCATTGTACTTGTGTGCCATCTTATTTCAAAAAACAATCAAGTAATATTTGAATAAAATGTTTTTATCCACAGACAGACCTGTTATAATTGTGTCTTAATAAATCATATTACTGCTGACAATACAGAGTTCTAAGGTGTTTTTTCTACTATTTTGTATTATTTTTGGGCAGGTTGGCATTCCCCCCTTTCCCTCTTTGTGGGCCAGTTAAATTACTTATCCTAATTTCTGCATCTTGTTGAACACCCTATTACTTCCTTAAATATGGTTCCATATTGATTACTGCTACAAAAGTTGAGGCAAAGTTTGAATACAACATTTCACGACACATGTGTAATATTTTTTTAACAAGACCTTTTTTCAAATAATTTTGTCTGTCTTATTTAAAGTTCACAAGAGGTACTCTATCACTTCATTTCTAAGAATGATTGCCTTATACGGACATGCAAATAAGAAATTTTTCAACAATTAAACCAAATTATTGTAAATACCAATCTAGGCAACATTCAGTCTGTGGTGAGGAGTGAGAGGTCAAATTTTAAGGATGTTTTTAGAAACTGAGCTGCTTATTTCAAAAACAAGTTCTACAGCAACTTGGACAGGGATTTTCCACGTCAAGCCAAGTTAGACTCATCAAACACAACTATGATGTGATTCCAACTTCATATTGATTAATACCAACCCTGCATGCAAGTGTATCCATGAGCACCTTCACTTATCTTTTTTGCACGGACGTGGGGCATTGTTTTGAAGTTCAGTGTCCTTAGTAATTCTCAGACGGAATGTTCCGTTGTCAGTTTGTATGCCCTGCACAATATTACATCTCGGGACCTTCTCTGCACCCTCTACCATTTGAATAAGTTCTGCAATTTTTGCCTGATCTGTCTCGATTTTGTGCTTGAGGAATTCAGTTCTTATATTCTGTTTTCCAACCTCCAAAGCAAAACTGTCATCTCTAAAAACTTTAAGCCGCGTCCTGTGAAGTGACCGGTAGCAAGACAACACCTGGTGTAATAGTGCCAAGAAAAACATTATACTGATGAGAGGCATTGCAAAGACATTTTGCAGCATGATTTCCCAATCCAGGAGATCCCTTGATCCAATCCGTATCTATGATGTTACTATGACCTTTAACCCTTCAAAGAGACTAATAAGATCGTTCGACAGTTGGGTTGTTAATTATCTCGCGGTCCGTTCGCAGCAACTGCTTCGCCGTTCGGTCACCGTTCTCGTACTGAATCCACAGGCTAAACATCTTTGCTTGCAGCTGCCGGTACGTTCGTCGCGGGAGTCTGCACAGTTTATGCTTCGAAACCATTCGGATTTGGAGGGTCGTCAGGCGGCTCTCTTCGTGAAGCAGCTGGTCAGCATGTACAAGGGAAGCTAACTTTTTCCCTGAGGTGAAAAGGAGAATATATATATATATATATATGTAAATAAAACACGAACTCGAAGGAGAAAATGTGCAACAAAACCGAGAAACTACTAACTCGCACTGAGGCAATAACCGAACGAAACCTTAAATTAAAACTGCTAATGCAGTCCGGCGGCCATTGCGTCTGCCGAATTACAGCGGGTGGAGAATTAACGGAAGCTATTTTAGTGACACAGACTCGCTGATGAAAGGCGATACCATAGCGTAATGACAAGCAAATAACCTACCTGCGCTCGTCTGTTGAGCCCGTTGTGCCATCCTTCTACGTCCTTGTTTGTCCGGATGGCTCTTAGGTAAACACTCCAACAGGACAGCGGCCAGGTGTTGATGACGATCCAGTTCTGTTCTACGTAGTTGGCGGAGGCTTTCAGCTGGTCTGTGTTGGCCTTTCTTTTCAGCTTGAAGAACGCTTCTAGAATGGCGCCGGCTGGAAGGAATGGTAGGGCCATGAACTTGCGAAGCAATTGGTAAGTACCTCGGTCGTGATGGTATGACGATTGTAGGCCAGGTTCTTGAACCTGAAACAAAACAAAAATCAGGTATTTAATAAAGAGACTTACGACTTGTAAAATTAATCGTCAGAGACGAGAATTCCTTCGTTTGTAACAAGGTTATAGTTCAGTTCTTTTTTTTTTTTTTAGATTTTGAGCTTTAATTGTAGTAAACAGAGTTAACACTTCTATATCTAGAGCTATGTAAATGGCCAAATGTACTTTCGTCCACTTTCTGACTCCTGACAGACTTAACATTGATTACATCGAACATTTAATTTGACATACCTTTCTCCATAGGCCGGCTTGTTTCCTATGAAAACAACAGCCCTGGATCGTCACTGCCGGCATGAGTTTTCGAAGGACACTCTAAACTGCTCTTCGGTAATGAAGTGTCGTTCGCTTCACGGATGGTGTTCTTAGCAGCAACTCGAATACAGCTTTCATCAGGGCTTTGTAGTCGCTTTTCTTTCTCCATGACATGATCGCAAACAGGAGCGGCACCTGCTTCGCACAGGAATCACTTCGCACGAACACGTTGATGGTTAGTAGCTGGCTAAAGGGGTTTCGGCAAAGTTTGAAAGTACCGTCGATATACCAAGCCTTGGCGCTACATAACACCTCTAGCTGTTGCTGCATGGGTGGCGAAGATAAGGTGACGACGGCCACATACTTGTAAAATTAAACAAAAACAACAACAAAACGTTATTCTAGCTGCTTAAGATATACTTTTCATGTTATCTTGGTAATTCAGCCTATCTATCTATCTTAAAACCTATATAAAATACAACTTAATAACTTCCCTAATAATACAATAAATAGTACAATAAACGCGTGCAACTATAACATTTGATAGTGAAAATATAAATAAAGTAGTTGCAAGAACTTTTTAACTTCGCTTGCAAGTGCCTTTCACATTGACTGTAGAATACTTACTTTAATATCTCCACGGAGAAAGTTCTCAGGGATGTTTTCGGGCTGGAATTCAAACTCGAAACCTACAGAATCTGCTAGTCTCAATCGCTGCCGAAGATGGTTAGCTGCTTTGGCGAGGTTTACCGGCTTTGGCAAACTGGGACAGGGATCATCTGTCTGCTCCTCCATTAGCACCTCGTTAACGACTGCAGATAGCGGCTTAAACAAATTCGCGACAGCCTCCTTTTTCTGTCCTTTTAGTAATCCGGGCTGCTGAGCCTGCGCCCACCTGCTTCGGGTGATTGTGCGGCGTGGGAGCCAAGACAAGTTCACCTGACGCCCTCTCAACTACAGAAACTCTACGGACATTACCCTATGGAGAACTTAAAATACAACAACCAGATTATGAGGCCAACTATAGCGAGAGGACGCATAATCTAATTTTTAGATAAAAATTTTTCAGTTACTTTACATCAACAAATATTCAATAGCATTACATCAACAATTTTTCGATTGCCTCACATCAACAGATTTCAGTTACATTAGATCAAGCGCTACGATCTTCTGCTTGAAAAACTGAAAGAAATGAATGTAAAACTGTACCTTCGGTCTAACGGTGCACTGCCAATCAGTGTTTCTGCCTTGACGTCTTTTAACGTTGTAAGTGTAACCACGTCTGTCCACCAACTTATTTCTGCCCCGCTTTGTGGAATCTTCCACTATCTCAAACTCGATCTCGAAGTTGAAGCGCATTCTCTTATTAAGTCTTAAATAATCAAAAGTGTGATCAAATCGTGGTTTCGTAAATTCTTCAGTCTTATTTTCATAAATAAAGCTAAACGAGGTAAGTATCATTAAAACTATTACACATTTATTACAAGTCTAACAACAATGCAATGCTGTCGCGACGATAGCGTGGCCGGTTTGCATCTTCTCAAGTCTGGTTGCTGTGTTCACATTTCGTGTGATCACTACAACACATTTCGTGTTTGTTAGATTAACCGAGGTTGTTTCGCATCTTTTCGATTCCGAATAATAAATAAAGCAATGTTGTTTTGATTTAAGTGTGTTTCACGGTCCCTCACAGAGTATTTAGATGATTCCGCCAACCCAGATTCCACGCAAATTTGGACAAAACTTTCAAAAACTTTACTGGTAATTTTACAGTTGCAAATAAAGTATAGACACAAGTTGCATATAGCACAAGCTAGTCGTAAAATGTGTTGTAAATACAACACTTCCCAGTTAAGCGTGACACCCCGCAAGTTTTCCATACATTGTAAAATTACCTCTGTGAATTACACCCTTGTACTCACTGTCTGGGAAATCCCACGAAAAGAACCTTAAGTGTTTGAGATATTTCTTTCCATGTTTATCTCTTCTTGAATTGTGGACATATCTCATTGAAGAGTTAACGTTTCTTGTTCTAAAAATTGGTTTCCTTCTCATTTTTTGTGCAAACCTGACTCTTGTGTACTTTTCTTTCGTGTTGCATTATTTTTGATAAGATCATGGACTTCCGATGACTTTGGTTCGTTTTTACTGAAACGGCCCTGTACATAATTCTGTAGTTTTCTACTTTTCTCAGAGGGACGTTTTAACATCTTCATTGGTACTCTGCTTGGTTCACGGTCACGTTTATAGCCATGCCGGCATTCACACAAAACACGAGTACAATTATAATGTACATACTTTGCATGACGAGATCTGAATTGTTGTACTTTTATTGACACTGTAACATCATTATGTTCATGTACATTAGTCATATTAACAACTTTTTCTAGTATATCACAGTCATCAAGAATATTCATCATGTCTTCTATTACGCACATACAACTCCATGCGAAGAGCAAACCAACATCCTTGTACAATAATAATGATTATTTACAAAATGCCAAGTCGTACTTTACAAGTATTGAACCCAATAAAAACCAATAACGGAAACAGGAAGAGCTAAACTTAGATATTTAACCTTACAATTCAAGTTGCTTGTGTCACGGCATCCTTATTCAATTCGCTGTTGTTAGTGCCACTTCCGAAGTTGTGTTCGCGAACATTCTTTATTTTTTCAGCAAGTGAGGTGTTCGTCTCTGCATCATAGTTTGTTGTAAAATCGGTTGTCACAGTTTTGCCAGTATTTTCGTAGTTTGAACATAAGGCTCACTATTTGTTATCTCGTGAGAACTAGTATGAACTTTGCACATTTGGCTAGCTTTCAAGCTATAGAGTTCGTTGACCAGCCCATTCCGAAAACGCTCGACATAATTTAGTGTGGGCCCCCCACGAACGGCGTGTGTGTTTGTATGTGAGATGAGCGTATAAGTCAGGGGTCTTTGCAAGGCAGCCTTCGCGATATACAGCATTCTGCAAACTATGTTGTGTGCGAAGTGCAAACATAACATAAGTTGTCGCTCTCTCATCGCCAGTTTCCGCGGTTTACGCAAGGAACGCCTGTGACCATGACCCCTCCTTTGCACCCGATTCGCTCGTAATTTAACCGCTTACATGCGGATTTAATTAGCACCGAATTAACGTATATAATCAGTCAAAGTAGGGCCTATTTACCTATCGTGAGCCTGTGACGTATGGGATTTTAATCCCATAATATTTAAAAATATTAACGCTCTGTACAGCACCCTTGGCTAACCCTTTGCTTCCTCACTCTGTATCCCCGCATAGTGTGTATTATAAGGTTAATGTGCGTCTGACCTTTTTACTTTACAATGGAAAGGCAGTCCCGATTAGTTTATTCCGAAGAACAAAAGGAAGAGCCAACCACGTTTTTCAACGAGGGAGTGACTTCCAACAAGAAAGCGATGTGCGACAAAATTCGTGCCTGTGCCGCAAGGGTCGGCATTTGGGAAGACCAAGTGAAGGTATTTTAAGCACCCACGGCCTTAAAGTGATTAAAATTCATTTTATCCTTGGCACCAGGATAATTAATTTCCTGCACTAAATTTCATGTATGTATGTTGTTAAGAGTTTCATGCTATTTAATGTTAGTGTAATTTCATTTTCCCGATCTTTTGACCTTTTCAATAAGCGCTTAATTACGAGCGAATCGGGTGCCTTTTGGCGACCAAGAACGGCTTGCATTCTTAGGATTCGGGCTTTCCGGAAGCTCGAGTAATTAGACAAATTCCCACCAAAACACAGCAAAAGAGTAAGATAAAACCGGAGATGATTGAGGCAAGACTATAACCGTTGTTAAGACACATTTGACTTTTCCGTCTTAGTTAGAGAGGGAAAAATGTCAAGAAAGTTTCTCTTAAATACTCGACCCATTGTTGTTTTCCAACGTATTTTCTTGCATCTCTTCGTTAACGATTCCTCAGCGGGAAACCGACGCAGAAGCATACCAGTTGTTTGTCGTGTTGTTTGCCTACGGCCTCGGGCAGTATTTTCAAGACCTCGGTCACAGTTTTTCACCATACGGACCTCCCAGCCGGCAAATAACATATTTATTGTTTTTAAACTTGACGAAATTCTTTCCGAAAGAACCCGAATGATTTATGGACGTAAATACGGCAAGATCTTCCATAAACTGAACAATTTTTGAGTGGGTAAATGGTAGTTAAAATAGAGGTGATGCAAATTTAAGAGAGATGCCTCAGCGAAACATTTTCATTTCCGTAACGATAAAGGTGATTTAAAAGGCTTCCAAACAAACTTTGAAACATTATTTTTACAAGTATCTGTCACAATCTGACACCTGTCAATTAGAGAGCGCGCAAGAAAAAAAAAAGCGTGGGAACATTTGAAAACAAACAGAACTAGTTTGGCAAGGACTGTCACGACAATGTTTTCTTCAAAATCAGTTAATGATCTAACGGAAAGTATTATTCACTCTCATCGACCATTCATTCATGTACGAAGATTTACCTCTGTTCATTAAGTAAACGGCGAGGAAAGTAGTTGTGAGTAAATTCAATTTTTTTATTTTGAAGTTGTGAGAGTTTGCTCGTTTGTTTGCTGTAATGGCGTGTTTAACTCTGATCTTTCCTTCACAAAAACTAAATTCGAACGGCACACTCCAACGAGACACAAGGGAATGTAATGCGGCCTTTTCTCAAAAAAATTCCTTCAATTTCTGTTGTGCAATTTAAGGTACAAATGTCCAAATTGAACGGAATTGGAAAGACTCACCAGGAGCGTATATTTGTTGTAGAACTTAAATTAAAACTTCGCTCGCTCTTTCACTACGAACAAATTGCTCGAGAAAATTCAGATATTAAATGAATGAAAGTTCCATCGTTCAGTTTAACTGTAACCAAATACCTCACGTCTCAACTTTCTGGGTACTTTTTGTGAACGATTAAAATTAATTGCAGACGGTTTTTAGGCCGCTTGTCAACCAACGTAATGACACTATTGTTTATACAAATTCATTCTGAAACCAATATTTTTCTGTCAACCAAAGTGATTTGATAGAGAGAAAAGAGAGGATTCATAAGTTATTTATCGGCTTGAGGTAGTGACCGACGTGTTTGCTTAAAAATACTGCCCAGCCGGAAAACGAGGTATATATATGAAAAATGACAACGAAAGTTGGGATGTACTCGGCAACTCACGAAAGCGTTACCTTGGCCCGTGGTTAGAGATAGGAAAATACTGACCGGGTAAAGAACCAATCAGATTGCAAGATTCGTTACCGTGCCCTCTAAAAAAACAATAAAAAAATTTACAGAATATGCGCAGACAAAGCTCAGCGATTTAAAACAACAATCCCTTTATACTTTAAGAGTATTCGATGTCGATTACTGATCGAAGTACTTATGTGATTCCTAAATGACGAATAATGGGAATTGTACAACAAACTAAATACCTCGTTCTGAAAAACTTCCACATCAAAAAACGGAATAAGTGGGAAACTTTGCAAGAGATACTCATCCCAATTTGGTTCATTGTGACGTTAGCGATCATAAAAAGAAGGTTAATAACGGAGCTGAAACCAGCTGTAAGAGAAAATGAAATACCGACAGCGAAAATTTCCAGCATGGGACTGGCTGGATTACCGGGAATTGCGAGCTCCAAGCCAAATATCGGCTATGTCACCAACAATCTCGCAAATGCTGGTTCGGTTATGGAGATAGTTAGGAACACCTCAAAGGACAGTGCAAAATATGTTGAGTTTAACACTACAGACAGTTTGATAGCCTTTTACAAGGAGCACACCAACCTTCTTGTGGGAATCGAATTTTGGAATGGCAAAGAGAAAGGACTTGCTTACACACTTCGCGTCCCGAGAGGTCGACTCCCCTTACCAAAGAAGAGACTTGTCGGTGAGTACAGCTACACATACGTGCATTATGGAATCGCACCCATTGAAAAATGTCCCACGGGAAAATGCAAATAGGCTAGAAAAGAGAAAGAGAGCATGCGTAACTTCACGCAGGCCTGTCAATCCGACTGTCAATCATGTAATCCCCCGTGTATGCCGTATTCACAAGTACTGTTTCTTGCTCAGACAACCGAAACGTAGTGCCATTCATCAAAGAAGAATAGACATAATTAGTAGCATTATCTTGATTAGGCTATGTAGTTTAAATTACCTTTTAATGTCGGGTTTTTAATTGGAATGCGGCAGATTTACGAGGTTCGACCATCAATTTCACCATGAAAGCAAAATAACATTACATAAATATTCCTTTTTAGCCCGTTATTGTGTTCATTTTCCGGTAACACGTCGGTAAAGTCTATTTACTTTTTTCATCACTTTCAAACAATATTAATTGTTCCAATTGTATCTCCATTGTCTCTAAATGGACGCAAAGTGAAATTTTACAACTCCTGTTTGGGAATTCGTTAATTCAGATCTTAAGAGACCAAAGCTGGCAACCTCCTTCCTAGGTCACTGTGCCTGCAAAGCATCATGGGTACCCCACTTTTCCTGGGTGATGCTTTTTAATGGGCATGATTCCATAATGGTATATGATCGAATGCATTGTTTACATTGATTATTTATGACATCAACGCCTTAGATGCAGAATATTCATGAGGTGTGTTTTTGAAACCAGTATGACAGGGTGTGACAATATTCAAAGCTGAAACCCAAGACCTGGAACATTGATCCTCCTAAAATGTGAAGTGGCCAGACGGAATTATCAGACAGAATGTTGCCTTCTTTTTTTGCTCCAAATTTACCTGTATTGTAAAAAAAGCCTTCTTACATCAAATTTTCCCTGTCCCCAAACCTCTCAGGTAAAGAAGCAAGGATGTGAAAATTGTACCTTGTATATCCTCTTTAGGGTCCAAGACCCCAAAAACAGTAGGATGTTTGGTAACACATCCCCATCCAGACTAAGGAAAGAAATGCTCCTACTTTAAGCATACATCTCTTGAGATTATTTTGAAAGGTTGTTTGGTAGCACATCCCCATCCATAGTAGGGAAAGGTTGTACCCTCCTTCCCCTGAAATGTATCTAGACAAGCATACATCTCATGAGATTATTTTGACAAGATTTAAAAATGCATAGTCTA